TTGGCAAGTTTTCAGAATAAAATGTAGGGCAGTGTATTCCTGATGACTTAATTATGGTCTTGCTTAAGGACCAGTCTCTGAAATTATTTTCTAGGCCCACAGTCCTTATTTTCTCACCTAAGTAAGGAGGGCGATCATTCTACTGACCTACTTCATGAAGAACGCCAAACTTAAATGTCAAAAAGAGTTTGAAAAATGCACAGTAACAGATACATGCTAGTAATAATTACCTTTCCTCTGAGGTCCCAGCCAAAATGACTCTGGTAAGCCACTGACTGGATAATCTTGTTCTATCAGTCACTTGTCAATCAGTACAGTGGAAATGCCCCCATATAGTGTAGGAAGAAATTTTGGGGAGTTGCCATGGCAACCTATAGACCACTTCAGAATGCCTTAAGTCTGCCAGCCTCTGCTCTGTTACAGTCAAGATAATCAATCACAATATTAGGCCAACTTGCAGTATAATTCAAACCGACCTCCATTTTTATTGAGTACATCATACTTTATGTACTAATTTTTCCTCGTACTGTGCCTTTTACCTTATGTGAAAACACAAATAAGCTGCTCCATCTGGCAACCACTACTCCACCGTTCGTATCTGTCTCATGGATAATGTTTATCTCTTAGATATCTCTCGTCCTTGAAAATGTTCCCTTGAGGGTAACTGCCAGACTAAACGTGGGGACACTGTTACATTTCTGTGTGCGTCAGTCGGTACACAAAGTCAAGAGAAACCGGACTTCCAATTTTTGCAGGAAACACCGCTTGATCAATTGATGAGCGTTGCACGTTTTCTTTTCATTTGATTTTCAGTTAACCCGATTGATCATTTCTATCAACAAACCTAGCTGTAGACAGAGAAATCTAGGAAGACAAGTATTAAAATATGAACAAGGCATTTTCCTAGCTGAAAGGAAGGTGTGGTTATACCGCTCTGATACGACATGTGCCGGGTAGGAAGCTCATCCGGCGAATGAGTGCTAACAGTCTTTGTTCCTATAGTAGAAAAGAACAATGAGTTTAAAATCACTCCTCAACCTGCGGGAACATTTTCCCATTGTTCAGTGAATGAAGCCTTCAGAAAACGTGGTAGTCACACAGCTCGGCCCACCTTGGGCAAATAGAAAGCCCTTGGAGGCAGCTTTAAGTATATTATTAATAGTTTGTGTATGAACTTCAGAGTCCTTCTCTTCTTACCCTGGGAAGCCTATTACAATACCTGAAAGATCTTTTTTTTTTTTATTTTTCCTTCTCCTCTAACTCTTAAAGAGATTTACTGCATTTGAGAACTTTAGAGAGTTTAATATTTATCCAAGGTGAAGAAATGTGAGTTTCCAGAATTCCAGGAAAAACAAGCTTTTTCTGAGGCAGAGGCAGTATGAAGGTAGGCAGCGTCTTGTCCTGCTCAGGGTCCTTCGGCTGCAGCTCCGACTGCTGTAGGTGGGACAGGGTGAAGGGGGTGGGAGAAAGAGCCAGGGCAGACTTTGGGAAGGAAAGGGATGGGGGCCGCTCCCGGGGGTGCCACTGTCTAGAAGGAGTCAGCTGCACCTGGGCGGTGAGACTCCCCACCCGGACTCTAGGTGCCTGGTGTGACAATTTGCCCCCAAATGGCACGCGATGAGTGCACTGGGGACTGGACCAGCAGGTTCGCGTAGAAACGATCATGTTTAAATCCATACGGAGGGCGGCTTTGGAGGAAAGATGTGGGCGACAGCTGACTTCAGAGACG